GGACCACCTTCCAGTGATGTGTACAGCTGAAGGCAGAAGGTGGGGCAATGTAAATACCATAATCTTTTAACTTAGGGGTTAAAGGTAGCAGAGCCTTGGGGGTCCTTAGAAAGTGGCAGGAATTCAGACTGGGGTGGTTACTGGGCCAACGCTGGGCAAACTGGGTTGATTGCATCCATGGGTAGGGTCCCACACTTCAAAACCCTCTGGTCCATCATGGAACTGGTGGGATTCCACATGCTTCCACCCCATATGCTGCTCTGCTTCTCCAACAGACTCCCTAGGTGCAGGCCTTCCCAAGATGTGGGTTTTAAGAGTTGAGGATTTTGGTTAAATCTGTCTGTATTGCAAGGATTGTCTGCTGTCTTTTGTTCTGTTATCTGCTCATTAATGGGATCTTTCTTTTGTGAAAGTAGAATTTCATTCTACTTGCACTTGTGTGCATCGGCACAGGTGCAAAACTGTGCATTTGTGGTCATAAGTATGAACGCTGGTGGACATTAGAATAAATCCTATCCCGAAGTGAAAATCTGGTCAACAAACCCATGGTATCTGCATAATTCAGGAAAAAAATTTTGCTGTGGAATCTGCAGATTGCATTCATAGAATTCTGTTTTTTAATGCTGATTCGTCCAACAAACAGGCCAAGGAAAAGGCCTTTTGCTGGGAACTGGGGCTGTAGCTCCATGCACAGAAAGGACCGTAGTTCCAGTCCGTTTTACCTCCCCTTAGGAGAATTATTGGTGGCCAAGGTGGGAAAGACTGCGGACACCCACAGCCAGTCAGTGCCCAGCTGGTTCAGACCACAACCATAATCCTCTGGCACCATTCATGAGGGTGTAATGCTTTCTGAATTCCAATTGTTTTATGACAGTATTAGGGAAAAAGGTTTCTCCTCCTCTTAAACAGGGCTGTTAGAAGCTTTGCTGACCCATGCTGAGCGGGACATTGATGTGCACTTAGCCATGCCAACCACCCCAGCCTATGTTCCTTCCCATCATCCCTGACCATGGGCCATGGCTTGCCGGGAATGACGACGATTTGGGCCAAAACAGCTGCAGGAATCCAGGCTGGGGAAGGCTGCCCCATTAGACCAGCGCTGAGGCTGCTGTCTGATCTGCCATATTGCCTCTGGTTCCTCTGCTTTGCATGAGTCTAATAAAATACACCCAGCCCAAGCAAAGTTTTGCATCAAAACCTCAACAAATTTGGGATGAATCAGTCTAGATCTGGCCCAAGTTACATTCGCTTGTATCCGTTCATCGGTCTGCCCAGAATTGTAGAAATATTTCCACTGATTTTCATGTATGACTTCTAACACACACTTTTTACACATACGGTTCCTTAATAGAAACAATTTTCAAAATAGTGATACCTGCTGTCCAAGGGGTGATCTGAAGCTTGTTTGGCAAGTCTGAATCACATCAGCGTGAGCCATAAAAGTGGAGCAGGGAAATGTCTTCTTCAGACCTGCATGAAATGCATGCTAATTTATATATGACCTTGCAGATCAAGCAAGATAATTCTCAGCCAGTCCTAGATATAAATGTGAATTTATTTATGGAATTTCTATGGTCGGTGATGCCCCAGGACTGCGTTTTGGGGCCACTGGCCCACAAAAGTGGAGAGGGGAGAGGTTATCCCTGCCATGTTGAATTCAGGAGACAGATATTCTTTTTCTTTGCAATCAAGAAAAGAGGAAGGAGACGCTCCTTTCTATTTCCCAAGTGGCCTGTTTGTCCAGCATTCGTCTAGGAAGGCTCATGTCCTGACATGTGGGATGGATGTTGTGAAAGTGAGACTTACCGCACCTGGGTGGCTAGAACCCACTGATGTTGGAAAAAAGCTCATTAGATTGGGGACCAGGAGCTATGCAGGGCTTCCTCAGTTTATCCTCCAAAGGTGTGGGACTGCACAACCTGTTAACACCAGCTTACATTGCCAAGGGTTGGGGATAATGGGAGCTGCTGTCCAAACCCTTCAGAGGGCATCCCACTGAGGAAAGGATGAGAAAGACCTGCTTGCAGATGCTGTAAATAAGATATTTTCTCTCTCCAAGGTCCTCTCTATCCAATTGAAAACAAACATCAAGCAAAAAGCACCCAGATGCCCTCTGACACTTCAGACGATGGTGTCCTGATGTCACTTATTCCCCCTTTTTTAGGCCAGGAATAAAGAGTCTGTAGGAAATCAACCCTGACTGCTCTTTAGAAGGCCAGGTCCTGAAGATGAAACACGAATACTTTGGCCCCCTAATGAGAAGGAAGGACTCCCTGGAGAACAGCCTAATGCTGGGAAGAATAGATGGCAAAAGAAGGAGGGGACGGCAGAGGATGAGGGGGCAGGATGGGGTCATTGGAGAGGTGGGTGTGGGCTTGAGTGGACTCCGGGGGATGGTGGAGGACAGGAAGGCCTGGAGGAATATTGTCCATGGGGTTGTGATGGGTCGGACACGACTTTGCGACTCACAACAACAAGAAGAAAGAGTCAGTATGGAGATTTAAGTCAGCTGAAAAGAAGGACTTCTTCACACGTAGTTGAACTGTGGAACTCACACCCACCAGATGGAGTGGCAGCCATCAATGGGGATGACTCTGAAAGGGATTGGAGCAAGTCGTGGAGCAGGAGCTGCCCCAGGCTACTAGTCCTGATGACTACCGGCAGTGTCAGAGGCAGAATCAGAGGCCTCTATACACCAGGCACTGGGAGCATGGCCGGTGGGGGGCGCTACGGCATTCGTGTCCTCCTTGGGGATTTCTCACGCGGGGCAGCTGGGTGACCACTTGTGAACAGATGGCTGGTCTGGATGGACCTTTGGCTCGATCCACTTCTGGCGTTCTCGTTCTTCATTACATTTCCATCTGCCTGTAACCAAAGCTCTCTGGGCACTTCACAAAGTTAAGTCCCCCATCCAAATTTCAACCAGGCCTGACCATGCTTAGCTTCCAAGATACTCACGCAAGGAGTGGCTCATGATCGAGATCTGTAAATTGATGCATGGCGCAGAGGAAGTGTCTCTTTCCCTCTTTCCCGTCAAAAATGGTCAAAGGTGACACTGCGCAATGAAGCGGAAGGACAGGAAAATCAGAAAAGGGAGCAGAAGGAAACACAGAAACAGAGCAAGTCAGAAGGGGGCTCCCGGGCCATCTAGTCTGACCTCCGGCACCAGCCGGCTGGTGTTCTTCTCATGGCATGGAGTTACCTTTGGAGATGTTATGGGTTTTGTTCCATGTTGTCCTTTTCTGAAAGACAGAAATGGCTCTCCTAAGGCACCTAATTACTAACCTAATAAAGCACCCAATGAAGAGCCTGCAGCTAAAATGCCATAGAATCATACAGTTGGAAGGGACCTAGCAGGCCGTTGGGTCCAACCACCGGCTCAGTTCACCCATCCAGTTCACCCATCAGGACTCAGGTCACCCATCCAGATGTCAGCCTGGTCCTGCCCTGCTTAGCATGCAAGATTAGGCAGGATCAGGCCAGTTCTGATACGATGGTGCTGTCCCTGCCTCAGGACTAAGCAGTGGCTCAGGTGGGCAACATGGTTCTGTGGTTCACATACCACGTTTGGGCTTCTCCATCTGTCTGGCCCCTGATCAGATGTAGGCCGAGCTTGTGAAGGGGTTGTTGTGATCCAGCAGAAGGTCTTGGAGGAGAGAGATGTGTGATGCCAGCCTGCTGGGAAAAGCAGCAGCAGCAGCAGCTAAAGAGGGAGCAGCGGCTACTGGCATCCTTGCCCAGGCACACGTGGAGGAAAGACTCATTCGTCATGGTGCCCTCCCCCTGCCCCAGACAGGCCGAGGCAGTGGGCGGAGCTGCCCAATGGGGCAGAAGCCCTGGATCTTGTACCTGGGGGGCACATCTCTGCAAACCCGGTTGCCAGTGATTATGTTGTCCGTGGGAACTTGCTCAAAGAAAGGTACATGGACTGGCTGATCTCCATCACATCCAGTGCCCTGGATTTGCTGGCTGTTGGCCCACAAGTGCTTCCCTCACGGAGCTCCCCTCGTCTCACCTGCCCTTGCATCTTTGTTTCCACACAGAGGTGTCTTTAGCAGATGCAGCCACAGGCAGAATTTGCAGCATGTGTCAATTACCGTATGACATTCAGGACTGTCGGAATGGGCCCAGCTGTTTTCTGCACTGTAGCACCAGCCTGCATCCAGATGTTTTGGACTCTGGATCTCCTGACTGGCACTTTGTCCCTTTGCATTGGAGCAGCCTTGACTTCTCCTCCAAGAACATCTGGAGAAAGCTGCATTAAAGTATCATTGGAAGATCAGAACAGGAGCCTGGGGAGGGCATGCAGGTCCGAGCAGAGAGTGTTGACTGCATGCAGATGGTGCCAGGTTCACTCCACAGCTCCTCTAGGTAAGACTGGAGCATTCAGCCCTGGGCTGAACATACTGAGCTGGGTGAGGCAAAGTCTGACTTACTGTCAGGTTGCTTCCTACTTGCCTGGCTGTATTCAGGGCTTGTCTAACTGTGTTTGCCAACGAGATGCCTTTGGGTAGTCCGCAAGCTGGACCTGAAGGCGACACTCTGTTGTCCCTGGATCCAGGCACATATTCCCTCTGATTCTGGAGGTTTCAAAGCAGACTTCCTGGTTTGCAAAGAAAATAGAATGTGGAAATGCAGTGATCAGAGGGGGAAGCGAGTGATACGGCAAGGTGGAGCTCGTCCCACCATCCCCAAACAAACATATCCTGCCCTGTCTATTTCACAAGGCTTACATGTCCTTCTGAAAATGCCTCCTGTCTTTGTGGCAGCCAACTGGTTCCAAGCAATCTTTCTAAGGAAACAGTTTAGGAGGTTGCTTAAGAAAGAGAGAGAGATAGTGAGATAGAGAGAGGTCTTTATGCTAGGAAATGATGAACTAAGACAGGCCACAAGTTGCAAAAGCCCCCTCTGCTCCCACACCTTCAAGAATGCTGTTTTAAGAGTCAGACCTCTTGAGCAAGAGATGGACAGCGCAATGGAGAAAGGGAAAATGATTTGGCAAGGGAGATCAATTTCTTAAGGAGGAGTGGGAGGGAACAAGTCTCTGGAGAGAGCGTATAAGAGAGAGGACCTCCACGGGGACCTTCACCAGATCTTGGATTGTTCCCTTTCTTTCGTGGATTTCCAGCTGAGGTATGTGGTTATGGTTCTTCTTGTGCTGTCTCAGGTTTCATGTAGGATGCAGTGTGGTGGTTCCTTTGTCACAGCCATTGATTTTCTGAGCATTTCGGGAACTTCTGTGGAGCCCTTGGTGCAGAAAGAGAAGCAAAGGGACAGGAGGGACCTCAGGAGATTGGGAAAGGCTATTTCAGCATGTGCCAATCTGGTAATCTTCTAATCTTTGGGACTTTCATGTCCCACCAGCTCCAGTAAGTGTGACTAATGGCCAGGGATGCTTGGCGCTGTAGCCCCAAGATGTCTGCAAGGCACAAGGTTGGTGAAGCTCTTCTAGGGGAACAGAAATGGACATCTAGCAACTGATTCCTGAGGGTAGCTTCTTGTAGGTCTCCCACTACTTGGAAACACCTTGTTAACCTTCCCACCTCTATTGCCCTGTCATGGGCAAGTGCTGGGTACATACCTAGAACTGTGGAGAGGAAGCAGTTGAATTTTACCCTAATAACCTTGATAGATCCATGCAGTGAAAGGATTTAGGAGGCTTCCGCTCTGGTGGCGAAAGTCATTTCCTGAAAGATGCTCCATTTGTCTTGCATTTCTGAAGCATACTTCCCAGTGGGGTGGGGGGGGTAGTATTTTGGGCACATCTGTGATGCTCCTGTCTATTTAATTGGAGTGTTAATGGGGGGATCTGGTGGGCTGTGGCAGCCCTACATATGACGAGTGAAAGAAGTAAGTCCCCAAATTAGTATTTAGGCTGAAGGTGGGTCATACAACTGAAAAGGTCAAACCTGGCTCAGTGCTGCCATCTTTGCCAATGAGGAGGTCTCCAGAAGGGACAGACTACTCACCCTATCTTCCAGGCATCTGGGGATTCTGTGATTTGTAGTTGTAAACTCAGTAGGAGTTTTTAATTCAGTGCATGCCACGTGAGGGACAGAATGGGTGATCTCCAGTGCTAGTCCAACTTGGCCCATTCGTCCAACAGGTCTACTGAAAGTTAGATTCAGACTGGATGTCACTCGAATGCTGTTCTTGGTCGGCTTAGCCATGGTCACTGGCCCTGAACTGTTAGCCCTGAAATCTTTGGAACCAGCCTTCTGATGCCAGGGGTCCTCCAGTGGCTTGGATTACATTCCCCACCATCACAGACCTTGGGCCATGCAGGCGGCAGCTGGTGGGAGCTGCAATCCCACTAGGCAGGGGATGCTGGTTCAGGGAAATCTGTTTGCAGAATGTCCTCAGGCAACATCAACTCAGAGAACGGCAATGCTTAACTCTGGAGTTGAGGGGAGGGACTGTCGCCGTCTGGGGATGGAGCAGCAGAGCTTGAGGCAAGAGAGCGTCCGACCACAGTCTGAGGTCCAGCAGTAAAGTCAGATGCAGGAGTATGGACTGGAGCAAGACCGAGATGCATCTGTGACAGGCCAAAGGTCTAGAAGTGTTCAGGCTACACAGCAAGGAGCTGGTACCTCCAGACAGGGTGGGACTGCGGGGCAGCGAAGGTGTGCCAAGCCAGGTAAGGGAGTGAGACCAGGTGACCTGCCCTGCCTGCAGGAGGGCAGGGCAGGGCACGGCAGGAGACAGGAAGGCAGGGCGGGCTCCAGGGTCAACCAGCATCAGGTGAGGTGCTGGAGCTGGACTGTGCGGCCGCCAGCAGGAGAAGCTGCGCTGGAAGGTGGTGCAGCCAGCAGGACACGGGAAGCAGACCAGGGAAGGTGCCGGAGCCGCAGTGCAGCACTGCTCGGATGTGGGATGTGGGGCAGGAGAGCTCTGTTGCTGAGGGTCCGCTGGAGGGAAGAGCCGCCCCAGACAAGCTCCTGCCCCAGGCCTCCTAGCTCATGCTCGCCGGGGGACTGAGAGCTCCCGCAGGGTGCCTGCAAGCCCCGTGCTGCTTGTCCAGATGGAGAGGGAGCCCTGGAGCCGCCGGATTCTCCCGTCTTAGCAAGGGAGAATTCTCCATCAGCCTCCCCTCTGCAACTGAACTGTTTGCCATTTACTTTCTTCTAGGTCAGGAATCGATTCAAGATGGCTCAGACTCAATTAGAGAAGTGCTTTGAAACAGTCATCAACATTTTCCACCAATATTCTGTCCGCGTGGGACATTTTGACACCCTGACCAAAGGGGAGTTGCGTCAGTTGATTGAGAAGGAACTTCCGACATTTTTGAAGGTGAGGTTCATGGACTTGCTGTCCATCAGAAGCTGCTCTCCACCCATTCCTTCTCCAGAGAGTGAGTGGAGTGGGTGGGGAGAAGAAAGAAATGGCTGAATTGAGGAGGGTGTCCTTCTGATTATGCCCAAGGTGAAGTTCTCCAGAAGTTCTCAGACTTGGCAACCCAGCATATGTTGGGTCCAAAATACCAGCCTGTGTTACCCTAAAGAACATCTTTTGAGGAATTAAGCTGTGGGAGCGGATTGTTGAAGTTTAGCCTTTTAAAATAGGGGAAAATGGAAAAAAACCATCAAACTGCGAATGGATTCATGGTCCAAGGGAAAGGGAGTGGCAGTTCTACACCTTTTTCTCCTTTGTGGCTCTGTGCCCCAAACGATTGTTGGTATAATCTTCGAGGCTTCGGCGAATGGGGCGGCATAGAAATGTTTCAATAAATAAATAAAAAATAATAATGAAACAATTTGTTCGGCACAGAGGGATGGGTGTTCTAATTTAGAACTGGGAGTTCCAATGATTGGCCTAGTTTTGAACTGGGAGATCTGGGAGTGGGAGAAGATGAAGAACTCTTGCAAGGGAATCAGGTGTTGCGTCCCTGCCACATCCATGCTGCAACGGGCTCCATCCTGACCTCAGAATCCCTCCCTGTGACCCTGCAGCGGAGAAGGACACAGCCGTGCATTTGTCCTCACCCAGGGACACAAGTGTCATATGAAGGAGGCTTAGACATTTAGGGGAAATTGGAAGACACCTCTGGGTGGATCCTGGATTACAGCCATTCTGGAAATTCTGCCTTCAGGTTCTCTGCAGACATATGCCATGGTTCACATGAGGCTCCCTGTGCCATATCTGTGTATTAAAAGTATTTCTTAACAAAATGGGGACCATCAGCATTTCCCCTTTATTCTCTGAGGTGTAACAGTTTGCTTTCCATTTGTGCTGAAGAAGAAAATGGGGGAGAGCTTAGAAAGCATAATTTTTCGATTGGGAACACAATTGCCCCTTGGACTTGTTGCGAGATTCCTGGGCGAGCTGCTTTCCACGCAGCCTCATCGCATGGCCTTGTGGGTAGTGGGCATCTGCTGACTGCCCATGTCTAGAAAGGCAACCCTTTTGTGAGAGCGCCCACAATAGTGTCAAAACATTCCCAGATTGCCTGCTGGCTGATCAAGATCGGAGAAACGCGGTCTCTAATTCATCTTTGGAAGTATTGTGGGACTTTAATGCCATTACATAGAACCCCCCTTTCATGTGAATATTTTTGGTTCCACCAACAGGAGCAGAAGAACCCTCAAGCTATTGAAAAAATATTCACGGATCTGGACAAGAACAAGGATAAGCAAATCAGCTTCGGAGAATTCATGGATCTTGTCGTAAAGGTTGTCATTGCTGCTCATGAGCACATCCACAAGGAAGGCGATGATGGCCATGCTCACCATCACCACCACTGAGCCCAAGAACCAAATTTGGCAGCCTCCCCAAAAGAGCAAACTCAGCTGCTCTCCATTCCTTGTTTCAGGCCAGCATGTCAAAATAAAGAGGCGCTTTGAAGATGGGTGTTTTGTGATAATTATTATGTGGGATGCTTCGGCTGGAGGGATGGGGGAAAAGTCATTGTAGGCAGAGACAAGGTTTATTTATCTCCGCCTCCCAAAATGGAGGATGAGGATGAGGAGGATGTCTTTGCACTGATGGTGCACCCAATAGCCGAAGCTGCCTGGGTGAGTCACTCAATGGGCTGTCCCCCAGGAGGGACAGGTGGGAATCCGAGATGCAGGAAGCAACTTCGTACAGGACTAGTATAAAAAGAACATGGGATGCCACTTTCATCCCCTGATTCTTGCGGCACAGAGACACGTGCAATGCTGGGAAGAGGAAGCTGGGCTTAAATGACTGGATTCACCTCCTGCTTAGCTTGCAAGGAAAAGCAGGATCAGGTGAGGTCTGATCATTTGGTGCTATTCCTCCCTCAGGACTAAGCAGTGACTCAGGTGGACAATGTCATCCTCTGGCGCACGTGCCATCGTTGGCATCTCCATCTGCCTGGGCCTGTTCAGAATCAGGCCGAGCTTGTGAAGGGGCTGTTGTGACCCAGCAGAAGGTCTTGGAGGGGAGAGATTTGTGATGCAGGCCCACTGGTAAAAGCACTAGCAGTGGCTAAAGACGGTGGGCGCGGCTGTTGGCATTCTTGCCTCAGACACCCAAGAAGGAAGGACTCCTTCGACATGGCGCCCCTCCAGACAGACAGAGGCAGTGGGAGGAGATGCCCAATGAGGCAGAAGCCATTTGCCCCATAATTATGCTGCCAGAGGCAGTTGCTCATAGAAGTGCGCCAGGACATAATTATGCTGCCAGAGGCAGTTGCTCATAGAAGTGCGCCAGGACATAATTATGCTGCCAGAGGCAGTTGCTCAGAGAAGTGCGCCATCGCATCCAATGCCCTGGATTTGCTGGCTGTTGGCCCACAAGTGCTTCCCTTGCGGAGCTCCCCTCGTCTCACCTGCCCTTGCATCTTTGTTTCCACACAGAGGGGTCTTTGCAGATGTAAACACAGGCAGAATTAGCAGCAGCTGCTAATCACGGTAGGACACTCAGGATGGTGAGAAAGGGCCCTGGATGTTTTCCACCCCTTAGCCCAACGCTTCCACCAGATGTTTCGAACTCTGGCTCCCCTGTCTGGCCCTTTGCCCATGTGAGTTTGAGCAGTGTCAACTTCCCCAAGAACATCTGGAGAAAGCGGTTAAGGGATCATTCGAAGATCAGAGCAAGAGCCTGGGGAAGACATGCAGGTCAGTGGAAGAGGCCGTTCTACGCTTGAAGGCGGTCCCAGGTCATGCCATAGCTTCCCTGGGTAGGACTAGAGTATTCAGCCCTGTACAGCCCATGCTGGCACTCCCGGTGTTGAGGCTCAAAGTGGGACCTAGAACTGAGAAGGAAAACTGAAGAACAGCCATCGGACACCAGCAGCGTTCTCCAGCCTGGGATGTTTGAGCTAATCTTAACTGCATTTCAGGTCTGTGTGCCCATGTGTCACCAAGCCCACCTGAGACATTTGACGAGGGCTGGAGCAATCTGGGAGTTTTCAATGCTCCTGCTGTCCTTTGGGATGGAAGCTGATTTGAACATGGAACCTTCTGATTTACTTAAAAACAAAGAATCAAGCCCCAGCAAAATTGGAAGATCCATGTGAGGAGGAAGGACAGATGTAAGACAATATATTCAGTGCAAGCCATGTGTGGGACAGGAAGGGTGATCTTCAGTGCTAGTCCGACTTGTCCCATTCATTAACCTGGTGTGGATTACATTGCCCATCATCACAGATCATTGGCCATGCAGGCTGCAGCTGATGGGACCTGCAATCCTCCGACGCAGAGGATCCTGGTTTGAGGAAGTCTGTTTTCAGAATTCTGTCAGCTGAGAACAACAGAAAGAACAGCAATGCTTTACTCTGGAGTTGAGGGGAGGGACTATCGCAGTCTGGGGATGGAGCAGCAGGATTCGAGGCAAGAAAGAGTCAGGGTGCTGAGCCCCAGGCGCAGTTAAAATCAGTGGTTGTGGCTGCAAATGACTGCCCCTACCAGGGGAGCAGCTGGAACTGAGGGAACTCCCGCCTTAGGGGAGCACATCTTTCGCAAGTTTCGACAGGAAAGGGGAGTTTTGCCTGAAACCACCCACCAATTCATTTAGTTGGTTTTGCTGAGTTAGAGCTGGCAATAAATAGGTTCCATGATGGTTGCTCTTTGTTACATATAAGGAGCACCATTATCTGTGTTCTGTGACTTCGCTAAAACTAATTGGTATCTAGATTTCTTTTGGAGACCTCCAGCTGACTTGAAACTATGGACACACACAATCCGTACCGTCTTGACTCTTGGGCTGAACTGGCAATTCTTAAGAAGGTAAGAGAGACGGGGCACTAGTAGGCATTGGTCTGACAGAAGGCAGGGCAGGAGGCAGGAAAGCAGGGCAGGCTCCAGGGTCAACAAGCGTCAGGTGAGGTGCTGGAGCTGGACTGTGCGGTCGCCAAGGATTAAATTAAAAATGCTTCAGGAAGCTAAAAAGAATGGAGGTTTTGGTCTTCCTGACTGGATCTTCTATTGCCAAGCATCTGTTCTAGCTTGGCGAAAAGAATGGATAACGTTGTGAAATAAGAGAATGTTGTATCTTGAAGCTCATGACTTACAGATGGGATGGCATACTTATATGTGGTATGAAAAAGCTAAGTCACATGGGTCATTTCTGAGTCATTTTATTAGAAGATCTTTAGTGTCAGTGTGGGAAAAACTAAAGCTAAAACTGTATAATGAATTACCAAGATGGCTTTCATCTATGAAAGCTTTTGTATATCCAAATGTATTGAACTTTGAAAAGATCATACGATATGGCAATATCTTGCATAAGGATGGTGGCCTGAAACTGGAGCAAGAAATACAAGAACAGGCACTTAATATTTCCTGGTGGTATAAGGTGCAGATGCAACCGAGATATGCTAAAGATTGTAAAACATGGGGGTTCTATAGAGACCTAACAGAATTTGATCAAGTGATGCTTAAAACAGATGAGAAAATTATTAAAAGACTATATGATTTTTTACTTGACAGGAAAATGGAAGGGGAACCGGTTAAGGAAACTATGATAACACGGGCACAAAACTTTGGATGTAATGTTGAACTAGAAAAGTGGCAAAAACTATGGGAAAGAAACATTAAAGTAACATTAGCAACTTCATATAAAGAAAATGTATATAAAATGTTCTATAGATGGTATTTGTCACCAAGTCGATTAGCTAAGATGTTTCCAAATACGTCAAATAGATGTTCAAAATGTAAACATAAAATGGGTACATTTTATCATATGTGGTGGATAATGCAAAAAAGTACTGGATTAAAATACATAGATGGATGGAGGAAATATTACAAAAACCCTTTGTCTTTAAACCCAAACTTTTCTTTTTAGGCATCATACCGGAAGACGTTAACAGACAGAAAATGTATCTGATACTGCATCTAATCACAGCGGCGAGGATTGCATTTGCTCGATATTGGAAAAGGGAAGAGCTGCCCACCGATGGATTGATTGTAAGAAATATCTTGGGCTGTGCAGAAATATATTAAACAACAACAACAAAAAAAGTTCCCTCCTCAAGGCAGGGCAGGTCACCTGGTCTCACCCCCTTACCTGGCTTGCCACACCTTCACTGCCCCGCAATCCCACCCTGTCTGGAGGTACCAGCTCCTTGCTGTGTAGCCTGACCACTTCTAGACCTTTGGCCTGTCACAGATGCATCTCGGTCTTGCTCCAGTCCATACTCCGGCCTCTGACTTTACTGCTGGACCTCGGACTGTGGTCGGACGCTGTCTTGCCTCAAGCTCTGCTGCTCCATCCCCAGATGGCGACAGTCCCTCCCCTCAACTCCAGAGTTAAGCATTGCCATTCTCTGAGTTGATGTTGCCTGAGGACATTCTGCAAACAGACTTCCCTGAACCAGGATCCCCTGCCTAGTGGGATTGCAGCTCCCACCAGCTGCCGCCTGCACGGCCCATGGTCTGTGATGGTGGGGAATGTAATCCAAGCCACTGGGGGACCCCTGGCATCAGAAGGCTGGTTCCAAAGGTCCTGAGAGAGGGCAAGCGACCGTGGCTAAGTCGACCAAGGACAGTGGCCAAGGGTCATCCAGTCTGAGTCCAACTTTCAGCAGACCTGTTGGATGCATGAGCCACGTTGGAGAAGCACTGGAGATCAACCATACTGTCCCTCATGTGGCAGGCCCAGAATTTCTTTCCTCGAGTCATTCCCAGCTGCTTGAATGCAGCTGCCAGTATTGCCGTGGCTTCCTTCTTCCTTTTCAAATGAGACAGAAGGCTCCAGGTTCAGTTCAGTTTCCATCCCAAAGGTCAGCCAGAGTGGCGAGAATTCCCGGATTGCTCCAGCCCTCCTAGGATGTCTCACATGGGCTTGGAGACTCATTGGCACACAGACATGGCATACAGTTAAACTACCTCAAGGATCCCAAATTAAAGAACTCTGAGGGCTGTTCTTCAGTCAGGAGGTTGAGTCCCATGATTTCTGGAGCCTCCAGAGGTGCTAGACTGCAATTCCTAACATCCACAGATGTGTGGAAGTTAGGGTGAGTTGTAGTCTGTCCCTTCTGGAAGCCTCCTCATTGGCAAAGCCACACCACAAAGCCAGGTTTGACCTTTCCAGTTTTAGGACCCACCTGGAGCCTCAGTCCCTGGAGTGCCAACAAGGGCTGTTCAGGGCTGAATGCTCCAGTTGTCTCTAGAGGAGCTGTGGAGTGAACCTGGCACCATCTGCATGCAATCGACACTCTCCCACTGACCTGCATGCGCTCCCCAGACTCTTGCTCTGATCTTCGAACGATACCCTAATGCAGCTTTCCCCAGATCTTCTTGGAGGAGAAGTCAAGACGGCTCCAACTCACAGGGACAAAGGGCCAGGCGGGGGGACCCGCCATTGAAAACATCTGGATGCAGGGTGGTGTAAGGCGCATATTACTTCCAGTGCCCTTTCCGACAGTCCTGAATGTCATA